AGTATTTCCCTCTACTATACAATACAAAGACAAAATGGAAGTAATCTTGATACACACACTCTCATGCTCACATACGTATTTTTAAAATACTAATAAAGATTACATTTTTATATTTTTGATCCTTATGGTGCACTTAAATACAGTCAACTCATTTTGTTCTCAACAACTGTGAAAGATATTACAAAATAGTAAATTTTTCCAGCTGGCAGACGAAAAACCTGAAATTTAAAGAAATTAGGCTCTTAAGATCAGAAGCAGAACTGGGACTATATCTTGGCTCTAATTCTGAAGTTTCACAAAATTTTTCATTGTAAATTGAATCTCAACCAAAAACAAAAACAAAAATCTAGTGACAAAAATGAACCATGAATTTCAAACCACACTGCCACATTTCAAAATGCCGTGTTTTTCAGTCACTTTGTATCTTTTCACTGAGTTAATGCATCTGATACTTTCCACTAGACAGAACAAAAACAACTTGATTTAATCAAATAATTAGAAAAGCTCAGTTTGTCTTCTGCGTATTCTGGTAACCAACTACAGCACAATCAAAAGGCTAAATGTTGAACTTCAGAAATATATCCTTATGCTTACCTAAGGGAAGCATTTGAGACAGTGATACAAATATGTCTGTTCTATGTAACGTATGAATTCCAAAAAGTTGTATAATAATGTAGAAACCCAAATTATTCTTAACATCGCTCTTAATTTTTTTGGGGGGGTGGTAATTAGGTTTATTTATTTATTTTTAATAGTGGTACTGGCGACTCAATCCAGGACCTCGTGAATGCTAAGCATGTACTCTACCACTGAGCTACGTCCTCCCCACTTAGTGCCATCTCTCTTACCACAAGCACATTAAGAAATAATGTCAAAAGATACAAGGACTAACATGGTGCCTAACACTGATAATATCAACTAAAATCTTTAGATATTAAAAAATAAATCAAGTTGCCGTCTACACTTTAGAAAAATATGTTTAGACAAGTAGTAGTTAACTACAGAACTAAAATTCAGGTACATGATTAAACCTGTTTTCAAATTAATGTTTAACTTATAAGAGCTATATGAAACGCACTGTTGATGATATCCTTGACCCTGGGTGGGGATGACCATTCGGAAGGCAAGGAAAGTTCTGACTACATAACTTGAATTAGTAGTCTTACGCATTGTGAAAGAATCTGTATAAAGCAGGAATGTTGGGTAATCAGAAATTATTCTGCCTGTACTATGTAATAACTACATGAGGTTAACAAATAACCTATCAGGAAGATGCACGTTTTTAACAATGCAAATAAATCCTATTCCTAGAAAGAGAAAGTGCAAAGTGAGATCTGAACAGTTTGGTTAAGAAAACAAACTGCAAAGTTTTTTTACCCAAGTTCTCTCAAAATACTGAGTTTACTATGTGGGAACCCATCTGGTAAGCACTGGAACCAATGATTTATTTTAATTCTACTTAAAAAACTTTAATCACTAGTATTTAGGCTTGCAACTAAACCCAGACTAATGGGAAAAAGACATATTTATTAACTCCTTAGTATTCCTCTGACCAAGCAATATTACCCAAGGGTTAATTCTGATACAGTCAGAAATAATTTAAACACTTATTTAAACAATAAATAAAATAAATAAATAATTTAAACACTTGTTGAACTTTCATAATGTTTAACGGCAACCTTTAAAACATCACATTACACAGAAACATTATGATGGTACCTTAAAACTCATCTATTGCTTATACACTGTGGAACACCTGTGCCAAGGTTAGCACTGGGGCAAAAACAGAGGATATCTTAACCATACATATTGCCCTGAAGCAGATCTTCATAAATCTCCAAAGTCATCTTCTTTAATCAGGTATGTGTACAATGTTTGATATGAATAGCATACCAACTAGGGCAGCAAAATAGCAAACAATGTTTAAATTTAATCATTAAAGATGAACTTGATACTCAAGAAAAATAGTCGCATTAGGAGGATGCTAGTAATCAAGACATTATTCCGAAAACAAAGAGAAAGAATCAAACATTTATTCTACCTGCCTTCCCTTTAAGGAACTGTCATCAAATAACTGATACGGGAACATTTCTCTATATATGTCTACTAATAAAAAAAAAATGTAACACTGGAATCAGTTTTGCAAACTCCTAATGAAGTAATTAATGCATAAAGGCAAAAGTCACCGAGGTCCAAGACACTCATGAATGATTCTAGCCTCTCCCCACCAAATAGCATGTGAATTAATTAAGCCTCTAGATCTGCCAGTCTGCAAACACCAACAGAAATAACAATTAATTAAAAATCAAGGGAATTTAACCAGCAAACCCAGACTAAGAAAATTCTAAGGTCAAAACCTGGTTTCTTCACAAATAAATAGAAACAATAAAAAGTGTGGTGAGGGGGAACCCATAGATTAAGACTTAAAAGACTAATTTTCAGCAAAATACAATGTGTATATTTTGTTTAAATATTGTGGCAAACAAACAGTAAGAAAATAAGAACATTTATGAAGCTACCAGGAAAGTCTGAACACCAATCAGATGTTTAATGACTTAAAGAATTATACTGTGATTATGTTTTTAAAAGGTGTTCTTATTTTATAGATGCATTTTTAAACATTTATGCCTAAGATATGTTGTCTGGGATTTTTGCTTTAAAATAATCAGGAGTAGAGGGAGGGGTTGTGGAGGGTTATAGATGAAATATCACTGAATATGAATTGATAGTTATTGAACCATGGTAACAGACACAAAAGGGTTCACTACAGTATCTTCTTTATTTGTGCTGTTTGAAATCTTTCATAATAAAAGCTTAAAAAAGAAAGATAAACTAAAAACTTCTATATAGTAACCCACAGAGTAAGGACAAAGAAACTCCATGTCCCTCAGAGGTCAAAACAAATGAGGATTTTATGGTGAGTTAAACAAGATTTCTCCTTGTACACAAACACATACACACAGGTATGAATTTAACACTACTACTAGACAAATGGGAAAACTGAGACTCAAAGAGGTAAGTCTTGTTCAAGGTTACAAAAGAGCAGCAGAGCCAAAACTAGACTCCACAACTACAAGCCCAGATAAAAGAAGATCTGAGCAGTCCTGAAGTAGTCCGAAAAGCCATGGAAAGTGCAAAAAAAGGTCTTAAAAGTTAGTCAGGTCAGACAAAAAAAAAAAAAAGCCAGGTTGTTCGAAGGGCTATAGGCTAGAGTGAGAGCAATAAGGCTAGAGGGTACCATGGAGAACTGAGTATTTGGTAATCATTGGCACTAGGGAGCCCAAGTGTTAAATCTATGGTGCGTATTTGGAAGCTATTTGAATTCAAGTTGTTTGAAGAAAAGAAAGTTTTTTCTAGCTTACAAGAAACTACTTATATGAACTAGTGAAACATAAAATCATTATTTTTAAATGATTTTTTGAAAACAGTTGAAAAAACGTTTTAATCTGATTAAATGCACAAGTGATTTAAATCTTAAACATAAAAACGGGATTTATCTTCCCATCCAAGAACAGGCTTCAAAATTTGACCATGAAGGGCCTTCATTATTTACACAGACAGTCTCATAAAAGAGTAAGGATTCATATTTATGTAAGTCACTACGAACAAAATTTCTGTGTATGTCAACAAACTACACTATCTTTTCAATAAGCACAGTGTCACTTAAATAAAACATGAACTCGACCTAGAAACAACATAACTAAATAAGACAATGTAACCCCATTTACCTTTTGTCTTCTGAAACTATAAAATCTACTAAGTTTCATGGATTTTTAAAGAAATCATTTTCAAACTAAGCATGCATATACTAAAATGCATTTTAATTTTTAGCTGACGTGTTGATGACTTTTCAAAAGTGGTGAAATGGATTCCTTTTTTATTGGAGGAGTGATCTATTTTTAAAAAGACATTTCTGGCATTAAATTACACAAGACTAAAACCTATTTTAAAAATCCGTATTAAACATTTCAAAGTATATGCCCTTCAGTAACTGTAAGAAATACCAAACCAGGAAGTCACAGAAAATTCCAATGTGAACTCAAATATTTAATATTAAGATAACTGAGATCATCTGTTAAAGAATAACTTGTCCTTTAAAGAGGTGAAAGTATAAAAAGGGAGCCTGAAGAGACAATGCAGAAACAGAAGCTCAGACCTGAGTTCTTCACACAGACCTAAAGTAACTTAAGTAGTAAATTAGAGACATTCCTCTGACCCTTGCCAGTATTTCCAAAGCAATAACGCAGCTTCTTACTCGAAAAACATGTTTTTAAGTATTACTCTTCTCCCTCAAGAACCTAAAATTAAAGCTAACGTGCAAAAATTCACATAAAGACGAAGAGAAAGTTATTTTTGAATGACAAAAGTAAAAACAATGAGTCATAATGGAAAAGAGCATGGACTTCAATCAGGCAGTACCAAGTTCCTGGCTCAGTTCTGCTTCTCACTAGTCCCTTTAAACTCTGCATCAGTTTTTCTCAACAGTAAAAAAGAATAATTACAATACCCATCTCACAGGATTGTTGTGAGGATCAAATGACACAATGTACTAACATCATGGCAAGCTCACAGTAACCACCTCAAATCAAAAACCTTTTCATATAATCAATAACCTTTTTAATAAGATTTAAAAGGTCAATTATGAGAAAAATGCTTAATGTTCTTCTCATAAAAATATCTGTCTCCAATTGTGGGAGAAAATAAAGAACAAACAAAAATACAAAGATCTTACTTATCTCTTAAGGTCATAATTTTACTTATATAATTTTAGGATCATTGAAGACAAATATCAAATTAAAACCACACCCTATTAGTATGCCAATATTGTGTTTGTGTCCAAACCCGGAAAAGTGGAAAAAAAAAATCCTGTGTTTTTAAATTTAGGGTCATCACGATGAATGAATATGCTATTATCAACTAAATTAAGTGCTAATAAGGCCAGTCACAAAATTTTATAACAAAGTATTTTAAAACTTAAAAATAAAAAGGAAAGCAGTTACCTTTGCACAATAAAGCATCCAAAGTTCAAAGAGTCTCTCTCTGGATGCCATTCTGGCTTTCAATCTGGCACTTTAATTTTTCCTCAAAAAAAAAAATTATGTTCAGGACCACAGCATGTTCATTTTATTTTCCAAGTTTTTCAGCCGTTACAGTAAAGCTCAAAGCAGTAGGGAAAACAAAAAGAAGTCAAACAAATGTACTGTCTTCTGCCAATAAAACTGTTTAAGGAGTTACTCCAACATATCTTCATCAGTGATTGTCAGGCAAGTATATAAATCTGTAAAAAGAGAAAAATATGCAAGGGTTTGCTGAAAAAAGAGGCCATCTTAATAATTATATGTTTATCAGAACTAGAGCTTTATCTACTTCACTTCCCACAAACAACCGGCTAAGCTTTTACACTGATTAAATTTCACAAAAACTTGTGTTACCGCTAATACAGTATTTCACATCAAAAAAAAGTCAGAATCCTCCTAGGCAGAACTCAAATGTGAGTACTCATAACAAAAGATACGTCCGGTGATAATAAGCAGCAAAAACGCGTTCCCACGCACATATTTTCTATAAACATGAAGAAAAAGCACACGTAACTACTGACATATTTCAAAGACACAGAATCCCTTAGAATTTTCTAGTCTACTCCTTAAAACTTGCCGGGAATGTTTGTCGTGTTGCAGGGCAGGGCGTGGGGAGGAGGGTGAAGAATTTCTGGTTTGTTTGTCTGAACAGTCCTCAGAGAGTGAAAGACGACCTGCCCACCGGCCCCTCTACCTCTCCATCCAGTAAGAAGAAAGGAGCATACACGCACCGGCAAGGAAAACACCCCGGGAAAGCCTCCAAGTGTTTTTCGGGAACCTTTAAATTTCCTCCTCCCATCCTAGACAACCGAAAGGGTGGCAAACTTAAGGTGCGCCAAGCTGCCGAGAGAAGCTCTGGAAAGGGGGAGACACGAGCTTGGCGTTCCCGGACCCGCTATTCACGCCCTCTGGACCGCGCCGGGGCACGCCCGGGTCAACCTGGCCCCTCACGGGCGCCCCTCACTCTACGGCGCGTTCACCACCGAGCAGTCGGGGCCCTCCATTTCTGCCACGCGGCCCGCTCTTCCCTACGACCCGCTTCCCCTCACCGCGCTCACATTGCGGGATCGCGTCGCCGCAGCCGCCGCCTCCAGCCCGACGTCTAACTTGCTCCCGTCTCTCCCTTCCCGAGCCGAGGCCCCGTGTCACCCCGCAGCTAGGAGACGGGCGGGAGGTGGAGGAGGCGCGGCGGCGGCAGGAGGCTGGGCGCGAGGACTGGGAGGAGCCAGGGGCGGGGCTGTCCTCTCGGCTAATAATTCCGGCCTCTAAGGAGTTACCCGCCCCGAGGCACTGGCTGTTCATTGGCCGGAAGGCAGGGAAGGGGCGGGACGACGGGAAGCCTCGCCCCAACATACCTGCGCAGTCGCAGTCGACGGGGATCCCGAAGACCTGGCGGTGGTGCCGTGAGGGGCGCTCCAGTCTTCCCCAAGCTGGACGTGTAGGAGGGCCGACGTGCTTACGTCCACCCCCCGCGGCTGCTGGGGACTCGCAGGCCGAGCGTTCGGCTGGTGGCGTCATTTCCGGGAGTCATTTGAGGGCAGGGGTCCCTACGGTGATGACTGCAGGGTATTTCGTTGTGATTTCTGTTTGCAAAATGGGGATAGGTCCTGGGAATGTATAGTAAGAACAGACCCTTGCTCCCACACCTCCCAAAAAATCCTTTTCCTTAATCGTGTTTGTGTCTCATACTTTCGCCTCCACCGAATGTCACGTACAAGGGCTTATTTTACCACTACTAAAGGTTTCCGAAGGGTTTTGCTCTTTCAAGAAAAGAAACAAAAGGAAAACGGCTGCATTTACTCGATACACAAAACTTTTTGGCGAGGAGGAGGGAGTTGCTTAAAGAGAAGAGGCAGACACGTGAGATTAGTACATGTAAACATTTTTTAAGAAGGTAGGAGTCAATCCGGAGCACCTAAACGTTCTTAAAACATTTCGATTTTTGTTAATAGGTGTAGACAAAAATAGAAGAATTAATTGGATATAAAATTGCAGGGCAGGTTCAAGTGAAATTAGAAATAATCAATATACAGCTAAAGGTTATAAACATCTCCATTTTAAAACATCGTTTCCTCCTTTGTATTTTTTAAAGTAGAAATAGGTAAAGCTCTAGTTTCTATGCTTACCACTACAGAGTACCTATGGAACTGTAAACTCCAGTGTAATTAAAAATTAAAATGACCTCAGTGTTTCCATGGAAATAAAAAGACCTCATGAATAAAGAATTACTATTATTCAACTGATACAGAAGCCTGTTACTCTGAAAGCCACACACTGTTTCATAGCAACTACAAGCTGGATGTTTTCGTTTTGTTTTATTCTTGCCTATATATTTTGGTTAAATTATTCTTGAAAGTCTATATACACCCATATTTTTTACTAATATAATTCTGACATAAAAACATTTCAGTGTATTTTCAAACATTAATCAAACCTGAAGAGAGGAAAGACATAAGACAGTTAATATATTTACATAATTCTAACCATCTTTTAAAGCCAGAATTTATACTACCATCTAACCATATTTTAGGTAAAAGCAAAATAAGTGAAAAAAAATAAGTTTATTAAATCTAAGATTGAATAAAATATAAAAGAGATAACCAAAAATTGATAGTTTAAGATAATTGGTTAAAAAAAAGACTAGAAAGTAAAAAGACTAGAAAGAATAAAAGACTTTTCTGAACTATTTTTATAATGAAGCCTAGAAATCTGAATCCCCTCACACGCAGGGGAGTATTAAATGTAAATACAGCATATTAAAGGGCATTTAGATTGGAGTTACCCTATATCGCAACATCTCTTGGAGACCCCGTTATAATACACTGAATATGTTATTTGTTGACTAAGGGACTAAAGAGATTACTTCAATTGGCAACTAATCTGAGGTACTTCCCGCCCCTACATTCTCTCAGTTTCCAAAGTGGACTCAGATGACCAGTTTGAAGCATTGTTGCTGTTCCTTTTAATTTCTTAGCCATTTTTCCTGCTCTAGCTAACCTAAGTGTTCAAGGGCTAGGGCTAGATCCTGAGCATTCTTCTCTTTATTTACATTTCTTCTCAGGTGATATCTCTGTTTTCTGTTTTTAAATACCATCCATATCGCTTCTCGGCCTTTTGGCTAAGATCAAGTGTAAATACCATCCATATGTTGATAAATTACAAAAATGTTTATCTCTAATCCTGACCTCTAGATTTGTATTTCTAAGTGCCTACTAAACACTTCCATTTGGAAGTCAAACTAACCAGGTCCAAAAGACAGCTCTTGCTTTTTTCTCTTCTGAATCTATTCCACCCCAATAAGTCTTTCTCAACTCCATAATATTCACTACCATCCTTATAGTTGCTTAAGGCTAAAACCCTGGAGTGATTCTTCATTCTTCCCCTTCAGTTACCATCCCTACATCTTCTCTCCAACAGACCATCGATCAGCAAGTCTTGATGATTCTCTCTCCAAAATATATTCTGAATCTGTCCATTTCTCTTTGCTTGCTGTATTGCTGTAGTTCCAAGTCACCTAAGCTCTCAACTGTTCAATTCCAACAACCTCCTAATTGCTCTTCCCATTTCCATTTATGTCCCTCTACGGTACATTCTCCTACAACACATAAAGCAAGGTATACCACTTGGCCACTAAAAATCCTCTAATGGTTTTTGTTGTACTTTGGATGAAACTGACCCTATGATTACCATGGACTCCAAGGTGTTCTGCATCTCTCTGACCTCATCTCACACCATTTTCTCTATTGCTCGCTAAGCTTAGCCACACTGGCCTTCTTTCTGCCCTGTAACACATTTCTTTCTACCTCAAGGCCTTTGCATTTACTGTACCTTCTACCTGTGAAATTCCTCCCTCTGCTTTGTGAATGATGGCTCCCTTTCATCTGTGGAATGCTATCTCCCTGAAAATACCTGTTGATAGAGCAAAACAAAGTTTTCCGCTTACTATAGTAAGGAAAAATACTACCTTGACAATCTTAGCAGTGTCTCTGAGGGGGAAGCACAAAGGTAAGATATTTATAATGTTTTGATGGTCTAGTTTAAGTTGAGTTTTTCAGTGCAAGGGCTTGATAGGTACTGGGTAGAGTCTGCAAGGCTGATGGGGACCTCAAGTCAAAGTTACCAAAGAGTCCTCCTTCTCATAGAAATGGGCCTGCTTTAGTACTATGCTCAGCCATTGGCTGGGAGTAACATTGGCTGGGAAGCACAGCTCCTGCACACAAGCACCATGGTAGATTCAGAGCATAGCAGCCAAGGCCACTAGTCGATTACTCCACCTGCAGCAAGACCTTTGAGTGGCTCATTTTCATAGAAGCCAAGCCTCACCTCTTGCACTGAACAGACTTATCTCTTCCCATGGGTTCAGGATGCAGATCTTCCATGGCTCTTGTGGAACTATTTCCTGAGGGGAAACTCAGATGGGACCTCTGACACTGCAGTTGATCTTTGGGGTCACAACTGGTACTAATACTCTCCCTCTTCCAGTAGCTATTCTAATTCTAATCCTTCAACCTCAGCTATCACCTCTTCAGGTCTTGGTGGCTTACTGGTGGTGTGATTCAAACCTTAACTCCTGAAGGTTCTGAGCAATCATACTGTTTTCATGCTGACACTGCTGCCTGCATCCATTCACTGCTACAATGGGGCATGGGAGTACCAAAAGGTGCCCAAATGGATCATCTGAGCTCCACATGTAGTCCCCCTACCTGACCTCCTCCTGCCAATCAGGGTCCATCACCCCTGTCTTAATGCTGATACCTCTTCTTACCTGCTGGGGCTGGTGTCAAAGTGCACTGACAATAGAATATCTTATAGTACAATAAAAACTTTGTTCCCCCTGGCAAGAGTATGTTCCCTTTGGGAACCAGAACCTCCAACCTTGCAGGGCCCAGAATTAAAGGGGTGGGAAGCACAAATCTCCCAGTGTGTCACTGAGAATGATGGTAAATGGAGCCACTCCTGCTTCTGCCCCTTGGTTAGTAGACCCATGCATTCTTCCTGTTGGGAACACGGCACCATACAGAGATCTATAACTTAATGCATATGCTACATCATCAAGGATGG